AAGTATGAACGAAAAATTCAATTGAACTGGCACTAATGCAAGATACAAGGCCACGATCTATCATAAGTTCGATTCGTCTAGGTGTTGGTGTGCACTGTGCAGTATCATCGGGATTTTCGAGCTCGGTTACTTGTCGATGAACTTCATAAGCTTGGGTTTTCTGTATCATATGATGACGTACGGAAGTACTTGCAAAACTGAAGTAGATGAACCTTGTGGGACCAGATGTGAATGTCGACGATACGAAATTTTTCGCACAGCAATTATTGTTCGGAAAGGTACCAATATTCCAATCGAGGAAGTTGAATATGATGAATGAACTTTTGTTACATGCCAAATATGCCATTATTATTAGGTTCATGAAGTATACGTATTAACGAATAAACGAATATTGGAAACACTGTATTTTCATTTTGCACAAAGGTATCATTCTATATTTTCTCATATGTGCATTCTGAACTTAGGAAAGCGAAAAAAAATCTTGTGGAAATTATTTCCACCTGAAACCATTTTTTATCGCATATCTACTACACTATCAAGTATATTCAACATCAATTGCAGAATATCCCGCACTGTGCGGAGTCGGCCTGTTTGAAGTTTCCTGTGAAGTGGCTGCAGGTGTGGCACTTGACTCTGCAATTGTTTTTGGATACACATAACTCTTTTTGCCGAGCTTGAATCGATCCGCTAATTCGCACTCCAAATGAACAAATACCTATATACAGGGTGTCCTGTGACTGGATGCCCATAGCTTGAGAGCGGGCATATTCTTCCACCAATTCCAAGTTGAAATCGGCCTTTACACTTGTGTCCAGAACTCTACAGGGTCCTTCATCTAACCTTCCGTCTTCTATAGCTGAGTTATCAATTGAGTCAGGATTTTGATAATCAGCAAACTCCAATTGTATCATAAGGCGCATACCAGGAAAATAATTCCGATTAAACAGGTGTCCCGAAAAATAGGATAGGATCTGAAGTTTACAGATGTGATTGACGTTAAAAAGTTGGGTTAGACTTCTTTGTATGTATTGAACATCTCATTCCACTCTGGACATTGTGGCTATTTTGTAGTTAAAATTACGCCAGTCGGGCAACCAGTCACTCCCGTATGGGAATTTTGATTTTGGAGTGTTTCTTTCCTTCTTTTTTACTCAGATCGCGTTGCTCTTATATCTTCTATGAAGGAAGCCTATGAGGGAATAAAATGCCGACTTGATTTTTGTTTGGCTAGGCTACGCTTAGTCGGCAGTCTTAGGACTGCTGGCTGGAGACTGCCCTGCACTGATAAGAGTCGAAGGGCTCGAAACTGGTCTGTAGGTGTCTAGCGTGGCCTGGCTAAATCGAAATCAATAGGCATTCTGGAAAGAATCACTCGTATCAGTATTCGTTCATACGAGTCGATGCATAGATTCTGGGAAGATGAAATTCAATGTTCTACGTCGCATCAGCTAAGAAAGTAGGTAGCTGTTTCTCTTCCGAAATCTACCACTGTTGTTCATTCTATGAACATTGTGTGGAAATGACTTGGAGCTTTTTGTATTCATTTTCTTCTTCTTTTTTGTATATTTATGTTCACTATGGACCCTCAGCATTACGCTGTTGCCAGGATGGCCAAAATAATTTCGAGCCGAAATGAAATATATTCCTAATCTCATCTCATCAATCTCATAAAGTAATTACTAGTAATAAATTTGTCAGCGTCGGAACATATGGTAATAAGATGCGAGAGCAAGAATTCATATGAGATATTCACATGACTATTACTTTCGGAAGGTTCATGCTTCATCGAGAGCTGGCGTGTGCCGATTAATTATTGAAAAAACCAATTTGGGATGATTCCGAATAGCAAATTATTGCATCAAATACTATTTGTACACGGAATGAACAATATAAAGAAGGTATGTGGCGAAAATTCGACTAGTGTGTCAGTTCCACCATGAACACGTACTGAAAATACTCACCCCAGTCTATCTAGTGAAAGTCTCATATCTATTAGAAGCGTAGAAACCTCACTTTTCACAAATACACGTATACTTCAGAGGATAAATATTCTGTTCACCATCTCAATATTTCACTGAACCTCAAACTAGGTCGTATTTTATTGAAACGATGTGTATATTATTCTCTGTGAATCCTTTTAGATACTAGCTATAATAATGTTTACGTTGACGATATCATAGGCTGTTGCATTGAAATTCACCTCACGTATAGCTTCTTCCGTGACCAAGTATGCCATCCATATAAGATGAAATAACTGAACATTTCGATGAATTTCAATGAGAAAAAATATCTAGGAATCTCCTTAGAATCACATTATAATCTAGTTGCAGCGATTGAGAAATTTATGTTCTAGTGAATGATTCAAAATAACAGACTTCCATGAAATGATACAGGGGAATAAAAATACAGAAAAGAGAGACATGAGTCAATAAAGCAAAGATGCTGATCTATGGTTTTGAAATGCTGTGGAAAACTTGCAATGAATGAGAACCCACTTCGAAATACAAGTAGAATATTGATTGAGCCAGTAAATTCAATTTTTTTCTTGGGAAATAAGTAATTATTGTTGATTTTTTCATCTGCTTTGAAATTTTAGTTGATCCTAATTCATTATACCAATGGCTGTTTGAGTGTAGGTACTCCATTATTCGGTATGGAGATATACAAGAACACTACGGAAATTTCTTTCCTCATTATTTTTTCTAATGTTTCGAGTTCATATCTCTACCTCAATGTTTACTGTCCTAATTTGAAACGACCATTTACTTCCAGATTGCATCGGTGTTTTGTTTTTTATGATTTTGGTTGATTTACATTATTACCAGTCCTCACATATCTTATTGTACTTGGATAGAATGGAGACCTTTCAGTGAAGGACTGCTATTCACTTTTTACGCTGGTCAACGTCCAAAGGGAACTATAAACATTTCGCCGCGCAGTAAGCCCAACAGAACACAAATGTTTCCACGAAACAGTATTTATTTTGATGATTATTTTCTTCCTATGATTTTAGGCCAATCAGAACATTCAATTGAGTTAAGCTACCTTGTATAATCTTCAATGCACGTGGATATACATAGAGTAACTCCACTAACCAGAAATTTGAAATTATTTCTATAGTAATCAATTCATATTGTTACAAACAAACAAAGCGTGTCGTAAAATGTTTAGGTTCGTTCAGAACTACTAAAAAAATAATCGCATCAAATACAATTGGAATTTCAAACTATTCAAGGTTATCTTGAACCTCCTGCATAATGACAAATCGTGTCAGTTCAACAGAATAAACCTCCCGTTTCGCGGTCACATTATTTCAACTGTTAAACCGACATTAATCTCAATTATACAACAAGATATCGATTTATAACCCGAATAATTTGAAGTATTCATAGTATTACTACTGATAACAAACCTAAATGGCGGCTCAGTCTGAGTGAAGCCGTATGAAAATACAATGGCCTACCCTTCGGTTCTGAGTGACGTAACGAGATGCTTACTCTGGACATTCTGACCTGGTATACTATCATCAGTAGTAATAATATGACTACTTCAATATATTCGAGTTATACATACAATACAATCAGAGTTTAACTTCTGAATATTTTCCGGAATTATGTTAATGGAACTTGTTTTTTCAAATCGAAATGTTTGTTAATCAGAACCAGCTAGCTTTATCACGACCCATTCCGCTGATTATTCAGCCGATAGATACCAATACGTTGTTATTAACGGCTCTCGTTCCGAGTATCTCCGAATTACATCAGGGGTGCCTCAGGGTTCCCACTTAGGCCCCCTGCTCTTCAATATTTTTATCAACGATATCAGTTACTGTTTGATACACACAGAGATTGCCTCGTATGCATATGGCGTGAGAGTGTACAAACCAATAGCTAGCCTCTAGGATTATCAAAGGTTTCAACAAGACTTCAAGTCTTTTTCAGAATATTGTAGACTTAACAAATTTCAACTTGGATTGCAATAAATACTACGAAACATTATTCCGTCGGAGTTCATCTCCTCTTGTTTCTGATCTTTTTTTATGTGGAGAGCCTCTCAGGGAATCAAATCTCATTTAGAACTCGGGAATGTTTCTAGATACTAAACTCACCTTCGACAGCCACGTCGAAAGAAGAGTTCAAAAAAGTCGAAGAAATTTTGGCGTCATGCTTCCCGAAACCTGATGGTTCAATTACTTTATACAACTATCTGGTGAGATCGACCCTGGCGTATGGCTCCATAATTTGGAATCCGCATTATAATGTATTTGTGAGTATCCTAAACCTTAGATACAATCAACAACGTCATCATCTCTCATATGAACAAAATTTGAAATACTATCAAATAGACTTGACATTAGACGGAGATTTCTAGATATATGCATGATTTATAAAATAATCAACAATTCACCTGATTCGTCGTCCCTTCTCAGTAGTCTCAACTCTAACTGCACACAGTACGTTGTTAGGAATAGACTTTTGTTCGTGGTAAGCGGAAGCTCAACAAATATACACTTAAGTTCACCATTCATTAGATGCGTTGATTCGATAATTCTGTTGTTGGAAATATTTCTGATCTAGATCGAATTTTGTCAACTCATTCATTGCATTTTTCTAATTTGTGCTACTCTGTAACTGGATGGGTAAAACTATCTGTTGAGTAACCTACTCATCCAAATAAATAAATAAATAAATCAATACATAGTTAACTTGTTGCCTAATTACAAAGAGTATGAGGTAACAGTTAAAATGATCAGTAGAACTGACACGATTTGTAATTGTGCAGGAAGTTCGAGATGTATAACCTCGATTATTTTGAAGTTCGATTTGTATCCGATGCTATTATTTTTCCAGTTATTCTGGAAAATCGTCGAAATTGAACTACGCGTTCTGTTTGTATGTAACAATATGTATATCCACGTATATTCAACATCATACAAGGTAGCTTAGCTAGTTCTGATTGGTTCAATATCGAACGAAGAAAATAATAATTGAAATCCTCACCTACCCGATGAATGTCCACTTTCTACCTCGTGAATTCTATGAAAAGTACTTTTCTTCCTGGTCGGACCCCTTTCTGCATAAGAAGACGTGGATATCATCCGACTTCTCGATAAATGGCCGTCCTGGTTCTGGTCCTGGTCCTGGTTAGCGAACGGTGAATTTCTTGCGATATTCGGACTTGATATGGTCGGCTGATTGTCTTCTTTGCTGTTCAACATCTTGAGCTCCAAATCCAGATCCCGAGACTGTAACAGATTGAAAAACTACACTCACAGTCCCGGTTCAAGTTTGGATCGACTGATTCAGATTTCGCCGTATATTATGGAACATCGTGATGGTTTGATACTCTGGAGGTCCCGGGTTCGAAATTCTAGTAATTTTTTTCTAAGTGAATAAGTTGATGAATGGATCTTAGAGGCGTCGCAGTGGGTTACCTTATCGATATTGATGGTGTTTATATCATTGTACAGAGTATTCCACATTACGAGGGTCATTCATTCTTCTGGTAAGCTATGATAAAAAATTGAATCAAGGTGGTAGTCAGAATCATCCATGATCATCTTCAATTGATATTTAATTTTCACAATTTCCGTTTTACAACGTCGCAAAAAAACTACAAAATGGCCGCCGCGCGAGGTTCGCCGTTACTAGCTCCGGTCAAAAAAGACTGCAAACACTGCAAAAAATCTGTGAATAATCATGTGAGGTGTAAAAAGTGCAATGGACTATTTCATCCCAGTTGCATGACGCAATCTGCGCAAGGAAAAAATGCGTTATGTCACCATGAGCTGGATCGTGAAGATGAACCAGAAGTTATGTGTGATTCCATAATTAAGATGGAGAACAGGCTGCTGAAGCAGTTGTTGAAGGAAGTGGAATCCAAGAACGAAATCCTTGGTGAAAACTGCTTATTACTTAAGGAAAAATTAAGCATTATGGATGAGAAACTCAAACAGTATGAAAAAATGGAAGCAGATTGCATAAAAACCAGATTAGACATTCAAGGTCAGCAACAATGCACCACATCAATAAGATCAACATCAAGCAAAAACGCAGTAGATTCAAAGCGTGACAGCACTCAAAAATCGATTGATAGCGCTGTCAGCACACAATCGTCAACCGTCAACAATGTCAAAAACTCTGTTCATGTCAATGCCAATCAGCATAAGTCAGACAAAAATTACGAAAATGTAAATAAAAATAGAGTAGATGACAAACAGTTGAATCGTGCTATTTTAGAAGCAGAAACAGAAAATAAAATGAAAGAAATGATAGATCTTGGCCAGCAAAGTTCAAAGAATGCCAATGAAGCCGAATACGACTGGCAAAAAGTTAAAACAAGAACTCGCAAGTTCGTTGTCGGACGAAATGAGGATGTTGTGGGTGTAAGTGCTATACCAAAATGCATTGCACTGCATGTAACCAGATTGCAACCTCACACCAAACCAGACGATCTGATAAATCTGTTGAAACCCAGATTTCCGGAAGTCACATGTGAAATACATCCCTCAAGATTTCCAGATTCATACACTTCTATGAAGGTGACAATAAATCAGGTCAATTTCAAAGAGGCTTGGAAACGAGAGACATGGCCTAATGGAGCCCTCGTCTCTCGGTTTTTCATGAAGAAGAGGGCGCCACCAGCAGTATAAATACAGGAGGATCCTCAGTATCAATAGATGGAATTATTGACAGAACGAACAAGATAACAAAGACCAAAAAATCCAACCTATCAGTTTTTTATATCAATATCCAATGTTTAAAATATAAAATAGCCACATTGAACCATTTTCTCTCAGCAAATGATTATGATATTCTCTGTTTTAGTGAAACATGGTTAACTCAGGAACAAACTGCCTTCATCAATATAGAAAATTATAACTTGGCAGCACATTATACAAGATCACAACATATACATGGGGGTACAGCAATCTTTGTCAAAGAAGGCATAGAATATAAGGTTTGTCAGACATCCAGTGAATTTAATAGAGAATTAGATCTTGAAGTGAGCTCTATAACTTTAAATAAATCAAAAACAGTTATCTGCTGTATGTACAGGTCACCAAAAGGGGATCCACAGGTTTTTCAGGATAAATTAGGAGAATATCTGGATCAAATACCAAAAGATAAAACTATTTCATTTTTTGGTGATTTTAACATAGACTGTGCTTTACAATCAACATATTCTAATTTTTTGAAAAATCTTTTCATGACATATGGTATGAGGGAGCATGTTCAACATTATACAAGGATAAGTAGAACATGTTGCACTAGACTTGACAATCTTTTCAGTAACATTGATCCAAACTTAGCTATGGTACAGGTGACTGAACCACATCTATCAGATCATCGAGCAGTAAATCTAACATACAAAATGGAACAAGAATTATTTGGTCCCAGAGAGGAGGAACTATATAGATTAGTCAATGATAACAATATTCAGAACTATAGAAAATCTGTGTTGAATATCAATTGGAATGAATTTAATAATGAAAATCCAAATAATATGTCCAACATACTGCTAAATCATATTGTAGGCAGCTATGATCAATGCTTTCCATTAAGGAAAAGAAAAACCAAGAAGACAAAAAAGTTAGTTTTTGATGAAAATCTGGAAAACCTGCGTAATCAACTCAACCTCCTCTATGATCTGAGTAGAATGGATAGAAGTTATAGACAAAGTTATGTTAATTACAAAAAACAATATGAAAAGGCCTTGAAGGTACAAATAGTCAGTCAAAATACTCAAAAAATTGTCAATTCAAGCAATAAACAAAAAACGGCATGGGAAATAGTGAATAGGAACCGTAATACCAAACAAGACAAAATTGAAATTTCATGTGAAGAACTGAATAATTTTTTTACAAATATTGCAAACATTAGCAAAGAATAACATATCTACCAGCATAACCCAGGAGTTAGATGATCTGAGTAAAAATAGGGTCCCAAACTCCCTGTTCCTCTCGCCAGTTACAGAATCTGAAATCCTGGAAATAATATCTGACTTGAGTAACTCGAAATCTAGAGACTGCTATGGACTCAATAGTGATGCATTGAAATTCATAAAAGATATCATACTGGACCAATTGACACACTTTGTTAATAAATGTCTTGAAGAAGGTATTTTTCCAGATAATCTGAAACGATCACGATTAACACCTATCTTTAAGAAAGGTGATAAGGGTTCAGTTGATAACTATAGACCTATATCCATTATCCCTATACTATCAAAAATTTTAGAAAAAGCATATAAAATCCGATTAGTAGAGTATCTGGAAAAATATGAACTGTTGAATCCTGGGCAGTTTGGTTACAGAGCAGGCATGTCCACCACAAAAGCACTTATCACACTAGTAGACTTTGTATCAGATCAGATGGAGATAGGGAATACTACGGTAGCCACGTTTCTCGACCTAAGTGAAGCTTTCGATTGTGTATCTCATGAACTGTTAATCCACAAGTTGGAATGCTATGGTATAAGAGGCACTGCACTATCATTCATCAAATCATATCTCATTGGAAGAACACAGTACGTCCAGAAAGGTAAAGATGTGTCATCAGTCAGATCACTAAACTTCGGTGTACCTCAAGGGTCCGTCTTAGGACCAATTTTATTCATTATCTACGTGAACAATATATCAAATCATATTGAACACAAAGGAGTGATCTTTGCGGATGACACAACTTTGATAGCACCATGCAAAACCAGTTCAGACACGAGTAAACTATCGAAAGAGATGATTTCCCAAGCAAAGAGTTATTTCAACTCAATTCAACTCTCCTTAAATGAAGAAAAAACTACGATATTAAACTTCAGTTTGAATCCAATGATATCATCTCTGAATAGCTCTGTGAAATATTTAGGAATTCACATGGACAATAAACTAACTTGGTCCATACACATAGACAAACTATCTAGCAAACTCGCGAGCAGTATATTTCTCTTAAAAAATTTAACTAGCATGATAGACAGAGAACACATAGTCATGGCCTATCATGCTCTATTCCACAGTGTAATGTCATATGGCATACTACTGTGGGGTAATTCATCACATGCTAATCAAATACTATTACTGCAAAAACGAGCCGTGCGTGTCATATCAAAATCAAATTATAGAGAACCTTGCAGACCCTTGTTCAAGGAGCTTCGTATTTTAACCACTACAAATAAATATATTCTGGAAGCTCTAAAATTTGCAAAAGAGAATCAATCATCATTATTTAGACAAGACAGGTACGAAACAAGACACAGACCCTACCAAATGCCACTTTTTAGACTCGACAAAAATTCAAAATCCTACAAATACCAGTCCCTCAAATGTTTCAACAGTCTGCCAGAAGAATGGAGAGAATTAAATTTGGAAAAGTTTACAAATCATTGTAAACATTTTCTGAGAGAAAATGTGTTCTATGATATGGAAGAATTTTATAAACATTTCAATGTATGCTTTTAAGAATAATTTATGTATTATCAGTGATTGTATATATTGTTTGATTTTACTTTTTATTGATATATGTATTGTATGTTGTATTGTATATTGTGCCTGACGAATGTATATAATTATTTAATCACACAGAATAAAACTACTACTACTACTTCTACTACTACTACTAATATTATATTCGTTTTTGAAAATCCTACCCACTCATCAAACAATAATTTGTATGTCTTGAGGATATAAATATTCCAAATTTCTTCGCGTTCTCGTAAAGAGGTCGTTTTCATGAGTATCCTCTCATCATATGACACTTGTTGTTTTGATGCTAGTGCTAGACTCTTAAACGAGGCATCGTAGATAGACACGTTCTCAACACTTGAACACATTTATTCACTCAGGAGAGCTATCACAAAGAAAATCATTTATAAAATTCAACGAGCGACCTTCTTTTTCTGAAGCCTATGCTTTCCATTCTCAATTACGGGGTGATTTGAACTTCGTGGCTAACACTGAAAGCTGGAGAAATTTGATAACGAAAAAATGTTGACAGATGTTAGGCTTGCAGAAAACAGCATTCAAATCAGCAGTGATAGGAATAGGACAAACGATTCCATACTTTGAATGTTGTTGTGATATCATAATGTAATCTTGATTGAATGCTTTTAAAACACCTTTTACCTGCTTGGTAATACTAGAAATGAACGGTAATCTTCCAATCACTAGTGTAGATGTTTCTAACTGCAAAAATATTGAGCTTCTACTGGTTGGGTGGTTTTATCTAACCCTTTTTGTATTGGTTAAGTATT